AGCTGTACTGGGTTTGAATATTGTTGAAACAGGCATTACACCTAGTCATTAGAGATGCAGTCTGAGTGCCTGAGCATCAATGACTCCTGGGTGTGAAGAGAGCGGAAGCCCTGGTTGAGGCCCTGTCATTTGGACTGTGTAACAGCTGCCTTTGTGTCTTGAGTCACAAAAGAGAAAAGCTGTTTTTAAAGTGTGTGTGTGTTTAAACATAGCTTCTGGTTGTCTTACTTTTTACTGCAGAATTTCGGTTACCTCTTCCTACAGATCTTTAATCACCAGTGTGATGAATTTGTTTAATATATATTGTTCCCAGTCCACTGAAAACTTCTTAAATTTTGTGTTCATATACAAAATGGCAAACTACTGCATATGTGAAGAATGCGGTAAATAAATATATTTTTAAAAACCTTCAGTGTGTGTAGTATATGCATGTGTGTAGCACTGTGGGTGCATATGGAGGACAGAGGACCTTGGGTGTCTTGTTCTGTCACCGTCTGCCTTGGTCCCTTGAGTCTCCTTAACCTGGACTCACTCTTGACTAGAAGGCTGGTCAGCAAAGCCCCAGTGATCCTGTCTCCTCAGCACCATGGTTACAGGCACATGTGTCCAGTCACTCTTTTGTTGTCATTGAGACAGTCTCATACTGAAGACTTGGGTGGCCTGGAACTCCCTATATAGACCAGGCTGGTCTGGAGATTTGTCTTTGCCCCACCCCACCCCCACGCTGGGATTAAAGGAGTCCACTAATAGGTGCAGCTCACATCCATGGGTGCTTGCACAGTGAGTGTGTTTACCATTGAGTCATTTATAGTCGCTATTCCCTTTTAACAGACAGACACATTCATTCAGCATCTTGATCAGCTAACAGCATGGGTATAAAAAAGTCTAAAATATAACCCCCCAAAGTACAGAAACAACAAAAAGCCCTAGTACATACGTAGATACACACAAATACAGTCCTTGAGGGGTTCCCCACCCTGCCCCCCCCATGCATGAGTATTCTCTAAAACATCTCTGTGACAGGCCCTGCCACCTTTGTGCTGCTCTGAGTTGTAACCTGTAGTTTCCCTGGCTCTTTCTGTTAAACTTTGTTTCCTGGAAGTAGAACAGTCCACCACTGCCACACACCATCATAGCCACCTTAGTTATATGGGTGGGCAAAGTATTAACCTTTGCTATCACAGGGGCCAGAGCTGCTGCTGCCTGTGAGGTTTCTGTCACTGCACAAGGCTGATGACTGGTGATATTGCACTGCAAAGGTCACTGCAGCTCCCATCACCGCTGCCAGATGCTGCCACCTCCATTGTGCCGCTTGTACAGGTGCCATTCTCACATAGCTGCTGCCTGGCTTTCCATAATCCTGTCCATCACCTCTGCTGTGCATATTCCTCCAAGATAACCAAGCCCACATCCTCCACAACCACTGTCATTAGCAAGTCTAGGAGAGCCATTTCTATTGCCACCACCACTGCTGCCACCAAAACTGCCACGGCCACAATTGTCATTAGCACCAAACTACCTCAGTGAAACCACCAAAGTTTCCATAACGCCTTTGGCCAGAGGAAGCGTGGGATATCCCTTGCTCTGACAGAGCGGTCTTCATTTCCTAGCCATTCAGAGTCTGTTTCTGAATGATGGTCTTAACCAGGACATCATGCTCATCGGAGGTTATGAAAACAAAGCCCCGGATACTGGCCAACCATGATTTCAATTGCTTCTGAATCAATCATGCTGTGCAAAACAATATGAAACTGTTCTTTGTAGTCCTTAATGCCACCCACAGAGATATTTATTTCAGTTCATGTGCATCTGGACTTTGAGAAATTTCTCTGGACAGTTTTATTTGGTCCCACAGCTCTTCCTGTGTGGCCTTGCGTTTGCAGCTTCGTCAGTTTGCTCCACAGTGTTGAAAGTGACCTTTCTGAAGGCCTTGGAGCGGTTGCTGTGGGTCCCTGTTCTCTCCCACATAATGAGTGAGTGAGTGAGTGCTCCCTGCTTGCACAGCGGCTCCTCATCAGACATTTCAAAGCTCAGCTTTTCTATGGAGAGCTTCCACAACGGCTGGGCTCTGGAGCATAGTGCCTAAGCGTTTCCTGCAGACAGCTCCTTTTCTCGGAAGTCGTTGTTGTTGGGTTTTTTTTATTGTTTTTTTTTGTTTGTTTGTTTTTGATTTAAGATGGTCTCTTTGTGTGGCCTGAACTCACAAAGATCTGCCCCTACCTCCCAGGGCTGGGACTTAAGAAGTGTACTACCACGATTAACTGATTATTTTTACATAGCGTTTTTAGATATCGTGACTGAATGTTTAATAGTGCAGGATGTAGAGAATTTTTTGGATCTTATTTTATATTTTGGTTTTTCGAGACAGGGTTTCTCTGTGTAGCCCTGGCTGTCCTGGAACTCACTCTGTAGACCAGGCTGATCTTGAACTCAGAAATCCGCCTGCCTTTGCCTCCCAAGTGCTGGGATTAAAGGCATGTGCCACCACTGCCTTGCTGTAAGAGGGTTTTTTGTTTTGTTTGGTTGTTGTTGTTTTAGAATTGATTGATACAAACACCAATGCTGAGAACACAGCTTTGCACAAATATGCCGATCCCAAGTTAAAATTCATGTAAGGCTTTTCTTTTTCTTTTGGAGACCAGATATCTCATGTAGCCCAGGCTGGTCTAGAATTTAATAAGTAGCCAAAGATGGCCTTGAACTCCTGATCCTCCTGCCTCCATCTCGCAAGTGCTGGGGCTCCATCCACCACATCCCACCATTTAATGATTTTGTTATTAAAAATGAAACGCGAGTCTGCAATTCTAACAGCATTATTTAAAATCAATGTTTTGGGGCTGGAGAGATGGTTTTGTAGCTACTGCTCTTGCAGATGACCGGGATTTGGTCCCTAGAACCCATGTCAGGTGGCTCACAGCCACCTGTAACTCCAGAGGATCTGAGTCCCTTTTCTCTGGGTATCTTCCCTCACATGCACATAAGCACATACATGTAACCTAAAAAAATGAAAATGTAAAATCAAAGTAAGCAGCCATGCCAACCTTGAGTATGGCACCCCACAAGAGCTTTCTCTTGTTAAATTACAAACTGCTATATCAATGTCACAAATCAGATGCACAATCTTGGTTAACTTGGGTCCAAGTGGACCCTAAACCTTCATAAACTAGTCCCCAACCCCACCATGCTGTCATTTGCCCCTGCATGACAATGAAGAGCCATTTGATTCAATAAACAGGCACACTTAATTTCTGAAGAGATTTCTCCTGTCCCTCTTGTACTGCAGAAATGGGTGGGAACAGTTTGGTCATAGAGAGTAAGCAGAGAGTTACTTTGTGATTGTTTCCATAGGTGCTTCAATGGGACGATTGTTGTAATGTCAGGTACTGATCACGATGTGTTCCTACAATCGGTAGATTCTTTGGAGAGAAAGTGTCATCAGTACACTCGTGCTGCTACAATAGACGATGGGCAGTCGCCGGGCAGTGGTGGCGCACGCCTTTAATCCCAGCACTTGGGAGGCAGAGGCAGGAGGATTTCTGATTTCGAGGCCAGCCTGGTCTACAGAATGAGTTCCAGGACAGCCAGGGCTACACAGAGAAACCCTGTCTTGAAAAACAAAACAAAACAAAAAACCCAAAAAAAAAACAAAACAAAAACAAACAAAAAAAGAAAAGATGGGCAGTGAAGAAAAGACATTTCTTTCACAGTTGAGACTAAGAAGAGCTAAGGGCTGGCAGTTCCAGCTTGGTGGCTCATGGCAATAATCCGAGCACTTGGGAGGTGGAAACCAGGGCCACAGGAACCCTGTCTCAACTCCTATCTGAGCTCCACCTCCCCCCAAGGAGGAATGACCACAGTAGAGAGAACAGGAAGCCAACGCGACTGCAAATGCAAATCGGGGCCGTTTATTTCTTTGTAACCTGTAACGTAATTCTTCCATTAGCCTAGGTGAGAAAGTTCTGCTCAGTTATTTGTCTTCTCCTTCAGCTACTGTTGGCACATAAAGCTACTTGACTTTTAGATGAACTGCACGTTCGAACGTGAACTGAGGGCATAGAAGTTACTTGAACAACAGAACTAGGATGTGTGTTTGCTAGTTTACTCCTCCTCCCCTCCCTTTGAGACAAGATTCTCATTAAGTTGCCCTGGCAGATTCAACTCATAGTAGACTATGCTAACCTTGAACAGATTCAATGATAGAAAGAACTCACTCCTATATCACCCTTTCGTGTGGGCGTGGCCCCGGGACTCTCTAAGGGAGCTCAGGTCTGCGCTTGCGCAGTCTGCACCCGGAAGCGCGACTTCGAGAGGCTGTACCTTTCCGAGACAACAGTCCGATTAAATATTCTTCCTTATTGCTACTACCCATGACTAAAACCGCTCGGAAACATCTAGAGAGTGTAGAGACACCTTTTCATCTCTCTCTCTTTTTTTTTTTGACGGCTCTGCTGGAGGCAGCTGAACCCCGCAAGTTGCTAGGACGGCGGGGTGGGGGAGGAGGTTGTCCTACGTTGCTATGACAACACAGGGCGTTCCAGAAAAGGGATGGCTGACCGACGCTAGGCGGCAAACACAACTTGTGGGTACGGCGGCGGGTGTCATCCACTCCTTCAGTGCACTCCTAGGGTGCAGGCCTTTGCTGAAAGGACCGTGGGAGCCCCGCCCCACTCGCGCCCGCGGAGCTGGGCCGCGCTGACCCGCCCGCAGTCTGTGGGGCGGCGGAGCCTGACTCTCCTGGGCCCGGCCCTGACTCTGACCCACCCATAACCCTCTCTGTCATGTCAGGTTATCCTAAAGGGCTCCCTAAAAAAAAGGAAACTATGCCAGATGAATTCTGAATTTCAGTCTGAACACAAACACTCAAGAGGTCTCTCTGTTCATTTGCTTTGTTTTGCCTACAGAATTATGGACAGCTTGAAAGTCCCAGCACGATTTTGATTTGTTTTTGAATTAACTTTTTGGAGGAATATTTCTGAGAGTGATAGCAGGCATTGTTTATTATGTCTCTCCACAAAGTATCGGACACTTCGATGACCTCCACACCAACATCTGAGGCCAAACAGGCAAAACTGTATGTAGTCAAGGAGGCAAAAGGTAAACTTCAAGGATACTATAGACAGAACCATCATGGCCACTGACAGAATTTACAATCTGTTCTCCCCTTCTCCCCAGCCAGCCTGGACAGTTGCCAAATCTGTTTCATCTTCATTTAAATACTAATAGCTGTATGAAGTTTGGCTTCTTGTTCTCTGACTTTAAGGGAGCTTTAATAAACGTAGTCATGTGGATAAAAAAAATAGCTTAGTTCAATATGCCTATTAGTATAAGATTCAAGATTTTTTTTGAGATTCCTTAAGATTTCCATCCTTGGGGCTGTGTCTTTGTGGCTCACGCCTTTAATCCCAGCACTTGGAAGGCAGAGGCAGGCGATCTCTGTGAATTTGAGGTCAGCCTGATCTACCTAGTAAATTCCAGGCCAGTCAGAGCTACGTAGTGACGCTCTGTTTCAAGAAAAATGTAAAAAACCTTAAGAATAAATGTGGACCTGTACCAGAATAAGAGTCAAGTCAGTTACCCTTTCATCCTTGCCTGTCAGGCTGAAGCGATCTCCAGTCTTAAGGTCACAGGGCTTTTTGGTTTGTTTCTTATTTATATTTGCTAGAGTTCCATCATCTAGGAGGTACGGTTTCAACTCAAAGACTTACACTAAGCAAGCACTCTACCCTGAGCTAGCTACCTATTCACTATGCTGAAGGGCAGTGGAGGGGCGGGGTTCTGGCTGGCTGTACACTCACTCTGTAACCCAGGCCTTTTACTTTGTATCTGTCTTCATGTTCTCATATTCCCTTTCCTCCCTTCCCTCCACCCTTCTCTGGACTGTATGGTTCTCAGCCCTTTAAGGATTATTTGTAGCTGGGCTTGTCCACTAGAAGCACCTATTTTGGTCATCCTGATAAGCCCTTAGAAATATGATCACAGGGGTGATCACGGGATTCTGTGTATTGTCCTGCTTGTTCTTTGACTATCAGGGGTTATTGTCTTGCTTGTTCCTTGACTATTTGCATCTATTGTGTTGCTAATTCCTCAACCTAGAACAGACCTTAATACTTGAATGTAATTTAAATGGTATAAAAGCAGAAAAGGAGGAGGAGGGATGGGATAGGGGATTAATGGGGGGAGGGAATGGGGGGAAGGGGATAACATCTGAAATGTAAATAAATAAAATATCGAATAAAAAAAAAGAAACACAGGAGACTGCTGAGGCAGTCTGGGAAACTTCAACTCCCTAGAACACTCCACTAAAAGTTTGTCTTTCCTATTACTTTCTTAGGGCTTCCTGAGCTAAAGGAGAAAAAAACCATGGTCAATCACCTCAAACCCCTTCCTACTTCCCTTCAAAATGAATTCAGAATCCCTGAGGAAGTTCTTCTCTCTCTGAACTATGCAGCCAATGCTGGCTCCTGTCCCGAAAACTTATTGCCTGCGAAGAAACATAAAGCCCCAAAGGTTTGTACACCCGTACCTAGCATGTTTGGGGTCATTATCCTTTTTTGTATTCACTTTGTTAAGTGTTTGGTGAGCAGAAGTTGTGTGTTCAGATGATCTTTTAAAAATGCAGATTTAAGTTAAAAAACCAATGATGATTAGTTCCTGTGTGAGTTTGGGTGCAGGGACAGAAGACAGCTTTCAGGAGCAGGTTCTCTTTCCAGCCTGGGCTCTGGGGAGAAGCACGAGTCATGGGTTTGCAAACTCTTTCAGTTGCTGAGCCATCTTGCCAACTAGAAAATTCAGATCTTGCTGAGCTTGGTGGCTGGTACTGATAGTTCCATCACTTCAGAGGCTGAAGCAGAAGGATTGCCTCGAGTTCCAGGCCAGATTGGGCTACACAATGAGATCCTGTCTCAAAAAACAAAACCAAAAAACTAAAGTGAAAAATCCTCAGGTCTCTTGAAGCAATGTTTCCATTGCTTGAATATTTCCGTTAACTGTTTTTATGTAAATTTACCAGACACATTATTCATGCTCTCTTAGTGTTCTATCTTGCCTTTCTTTATGCATTCTGCTCCTCTACAAAGCATCCAAATGCCCTTGATGTAGTCATAGAAGTAACATTTTCTTCAACCAGAGTGCCCTCTGCTGGACATTTGTGGTTTTTGCTTTTTTTTTCCCACAGGGTACCCTTCCACGGCTTGTAGATCATGTCTGGCAGCACCCTATTCGAAGAGATAAGTACAAATACCTGATTGATCATCCTGTCTCCCTAACAGGAGCTGGAAGGTAAAGGATGGGGAGAGTGGGGTGCAGATATACAGATAGACAGAATTATTTTCTCACTTTGTGTGGCAGATTTGGGAGGAGGCAGAATGGCAACACTGAAGAATTACAGATTTTGAAACTTGTAGCATCATTGATAAGTGAAATTTCTGAAGGGATAGATGTATAATTATTATTAGTAGCTATACATGTTAGTTATACATCTTTTTGGTTGTTGAATTCTAAACATACATTTATTTATTTATTTATAAATGTAGTTAGTTAGTTATTCTGTGTATGCCATGTCCCATGTGTGAGATTAGAAGGGAACTTTCAGGAGTGGGTTCTCTCCTTCCACCATATGGATCCTACAGATTGAACTCAGGCTGTTGCGCTCAGTGGCAAGCACCTTTATCCTCTGAACCCTCTCCCAGGCTTGGTTTGTTGGGGTTTGTTTGTCTTTGTTTTGTTTTGCTTTGCATGCATTTGTATACTTCCTCCTGTAGTTTCCTGTGGTTTTTTTTTTTTTTTTTGTCCTGTATTAAAAAGGACAAGATCCACCAAACCAAAGCCCTTAGTATGTTTCCCGTCTGTAGGTGTCCATAGTTTTGTACATCTTAGAGGAAACATGACAAGGAGGTTAATTTCCCCAGTCCGCCCTTTCTTTCTTTTCTTTTCTTTTTTTCTTTCTTCTTTCTTTTTTTCCCGAGACAGGGTTTCTCTGTGTAGCCCTGGCTGTCTTGGAACTCACTCTGTAGACCAGGCTGGCCTTGAACTCAGATTCTCCTGCCTCTGCCTCCCAAGTGCTGGGATTAAAGGTGTACATCACCACTGCCTGGCTCCCTAGTCTTTTCAAAAGGAACCTGTAGCTGGTCTTTGCTACTTTGTGGGTTCTCCTTTTCCCCACCGTTTATGCCCCCAGTCCCCTCCCCATCAGTAGATAGGAGAGAAAGAAGGATGGGAGGGGGGATATCTGAATCTAATTTCTTTTTTCTTTTTTGAGCATCACTACTAATAAACAGCAACCAAGTCCTCTAAACGACCAACAACCTCCAACCTTGCCTATTGGGGCTCTCAAACCTATATACTCTCTGAAAAATTCCCAGAATTCCAAACAGCACACAATCTAAGAAACTCTCTGTAGCTGGCAAAACCATGCCTCTGCTAGACATGAGGTAAATCATAGTCAGCTGCTGTGAAGGAGTTCTATATCCCACACCTGGGAGTAAAACAAAAACATAGTCTTATAATATTTATGGTTTTGTTTTTGTTTCTTTAAAAGAAAAAAAAACCCCAAAATTCCAGAATTGTCACTACTACGGGAACCCCTAACCATTTTATACTGTTTCAGATTAAATCCTCAAATACTATTTATTATTTTGCATCATTCCCAAAAATACTCTGTCAAATTTTGTTCCTTAAAGATTGTGGCCTATTCATTTGAAAGCATTTTTCATTTATCAAAATCTCTTTGCACGCCTTGCTTACATGGAAGGTTACCACGCTTAAGTAGGATATTTATTCTTTTTTTTTTTTTTTAAAGATTTATTTATTTATTATATATGAATACACTGTAGCTGTCTTCAGACACACCAGAAGAGGGCGTCAGATCTCATTACAGATGGTTGTGAGCCACCAG